ATGCCCCGCGGCATCCATCCCCTAACCCCCAATTGCGGGGAAGGAGTGAAGGGTCTGCCTAACTTAAGAATTGCCGGCAGGAGGAATAAATGTAGAGGGTCCAATTACTTTTTATGCGGGCCCATCTTTTGTAGTTACGTCACTGACGAAAGATATCTTTACATACGACCTTTAATCATATGATACACACATGGATAGTAAGACTAAAACACTAATATAATGCGTGCTTTGGGGTTTGAGCTTTTTTGTAGTACGCCCCAAGATTATGAGTGCATCATAGATATGCTGTTAGTGTGGTATTATAAGGTAAAAAAAAAAACAATAAAATAAAATACAACAGATTTCCTGACAAGGACCGGATAGATGGATCCACCAGTAACTACAGAATCCTTCAGGAAATAAGGGGGGGGGGATTCTGATTCGGATAGCTTAACTAAGTCTTTCTAGTGTATATGTAAAATAATGAGGCTGAACAAAGTTGGTAAAAATGAAAACAATCTTTACCATTCAATGAAAGAAAATAAAACACAGTGTACGTACTTGTTCACACATAAGGACAATCGCTTCTACTAGTCCGTGCTTAGCCCAACAGGTTTCTTTGTCTCAGGATTGATTTCTGTAGAATTAAACATAATGTAATTCTTGACTGGACGAGCTTCTAGTAGAACTACTTCAAGAAAAACGTGCCTAAATTCATAAGGTAAACTCGCTTTCTTTGTCCAGCCGACAGTGTCACCTCATGACCTTTGTTCTCTCACAAAATTGATCGACTGTATTGTTCGTTTAGACAACTTCAATTCGGCCAGCAAAGTATGTTACAACTTAAATACTTAATACTACTATCATATCCTCGCAGGCAGAATAGACATTATCTACAATAGAGAACAAAGAAAAAAAGCAACTGAAACCTAACAATCTCAACGACTGTCTGGACCACGTGTTACTGCCATTACAGCATGAAAACTAAATAACAGATTTTTTTTTAATTTCTATATCACCAAAGCTGGTAGAAAATATGATATGCCTAAATATCACTTTTACCAATACATCCAATAAACGCAGAGGACACCTGTATGACTGAAGCCATAAAAACGGATAACATACACTCAGTAGATAATTATAATCAGGTGGTGTCTGTTATATTAGTTGAAACCTAGTTTATTAAACAAACTAAAAATCGCCAGTTTACATTTATGATACTCACACTGCAAAATATTTAAGATTTTATTTCACGTGTTTAATATATATTTTTAATAGCTTTGTTTGTTTGTTATATTTCGCGCAAAGCCGCTCGAGAGGTATCTAGTCCTGCTGTCTTTACTATGGAAGAAATATAGTTAGTCAACGTCACCCACAAACTAAAAATCGCCAGTCTCTTTTTACGACACCGTAAAATGTTAGAATTTTATTTCACATTTTAATATTGAAATTTTTTAATATCTTTTCTTGTTTGCAGAGTTTCGTGCAAAGCTACTCTGGGGCTATCTACCCTAGCTGTCCCTAATTAAGATGTTATAGACTAGAGTGAAGGTAACTAGCTCGCTAACTCTTTACCAAAGAAAAGTTGAACTGACCGTTATAGTATAACACCCCATGACTGAAAGGACGAGCATGTTCGGTAACGGGTTTTGGTCCGGTGACCTACCGATTGCGAGTCGAGCGTTCTAAACACCAGGCCATGCCATGTCCCTAGCTTCAAGCCTTGGTATTTGAACCCTAAATTAATTACTTCTTTGTTTAAGGTATTTATTACATCATTTAACTATATTGTCAACTTTCCAAAGCTATAAAACATTCTTGTTAAATGAGAGATGCTAATACTTATTAATCAAATCAATATTAATAAAACTAAACCTTTGAAATATTAGATTGGGAAACTTACTGGGGTAGGGAGAAAATATGTCTAAAATGTTAAACAATTTTGTACTCAAGAAACATCACGTAATTCATTCTCTGTTAGGGAGAATAATATCCCCCCCCCCTAAATTACTCTTATAACTGAAGGCAACGTTTTTTAGAAATATTTGGAAAATCTTTAAAGAGTAAAACTTTCGGATCTTAAAAAAATTATAAAACTTTGGGAAAATTTAATAAGGAGAACATGATCATTTTAAGTTTTACTTCTCAAAACTTTCTGATTTTTGGAAGATTGCTAGGGTGGCTCTCATTTTTACTGAGAAATAATAAAAAAGTGGGCCCATGAAACTACAGAACTATTAGTTTTATTTTTACTGATAGCAAGGTTTCGCATTTCGTAGTTAATGACCGTTTCGAGGAACATCGTAAAATTTGGTACTGATGCTCAACTTGAGCTTAGATAAGGGTTTTCCTCCCGACTGCTTATTTAATCCACATACCGCTGTGCTACTGGGGGGAATTGCTTTAAATACATGCTAGTATTGGTCAGAGTTGAGTTGAAGAAAAAAACTACAGAGTCTTAGAACTAGATCATCCGCAACACATTCTTACGGAAACTCTGAAAGTAGAATCAGCTACACGATACTTCCATATCAGTAACCGGATCACAGTGTATATTTTAAACAATGAGGGAAGTCTCTAAACGAAGAAATAACGGGGTGCCAGTTCAAGAGTCAACAGGCATAATTGAAACAATAAGGAAAACCGTACACTACAATGTACTCCTCAAAATTATTGTTTACTATTTCAAAAAACAACGTTTCGCCGCCATTACGTTACCATTACCAGTCCTTGTCCTAAACAAAAATGCAAGCATTAAAGGGACAAAAAATAGACCCAATAATTTACTCGGCTGCGAAAGCTTCGGTCATGGATACTTTGTTTAATTTAGATAATTTTGTTATTGTTTAATTTAACAACAACAACAAAAAAAAAAGCATTAAATCTAGCCCCAAAAAATCCTCGAGATTTGAAAAGTAGCAACCCGCGACTTCTGATTATTTCACGTGGCTATGTTTTCCAAATTAGTCTCCCCGTCCCACCAAAGATGCTCGCCCTTTCAGCCATGGGGGCGTTATAATGTGACGGTCAATCCTACTACTTATTGGTAAAAAAGTAGCCCAAGAGTTGGCGGTGGGTGGTGATGACTAGCTGCCTTCCCTCTAGTCGTACACTGCTAAATTAGGGACGGCTAGCGCAGATAGCCCTTGTGTAGCTTTGCGCGAAATTCAAAACAAAAAACAAAATCCAAGTAGTCCGATTCCGCGGGAAAGCCTCTGATCTGGTAACTATATTTTGATTAAACAGTCCTAAGTTTCCGAATAGTACCTGATGCCTGTGCAAGAGTTGAAAACCCGTCTCAAAATCAACAAAAGAAGCAGGAAAGATACGATAAGTATGTATTTACATGTGTTTCATAGTTATAAGAGGGCCATCTGCAATTGTAATCCTTAATTTTTAACTGAGAGACGATAGGGAAGTGCGGCTGGCTAGTCAACGTCACGCTAACCATAAAGCAATACCCTATCAAAGTCGATAAGAAAAATAAAAAAGGCAAGGTGATTGCTTCAGAATACTGTGATATTTATGTTTCAGCTTATCACGTAAGATACTACTATAAAAAAATATAGTGTCTGATAGGAGTTACCATGTGAAAAATACCTGTGTACATGTGGTACTTCGTAGCTAGAGCTCTGCTGTCCATGTAAAATACGTGTGATCAACCTATGGTATGTGGTCGGTAGGGTTCAGGTTGCTGCGCAATATACTTTTGTACGTCATCAGTTCTTGTGTAATACGTAAGAGATATAGGTTCATTTATTCACATAACAGCATCAACAACAATACGTGGCAGGAATTTCGGCACGAGATCCTCCGAGGTAAAACCTCGTGGGATTATCAAGGTTGCTCAAATGATTTAACTTCTCTTCACTCCTCTACTGATGGTAGTGCTGGCTGTACCTGAAGTTTTGTGGTTTAAGCTTACTTAAAGAAGATTATGTTGTCATGGCAGATTTGAAGACGGCCCAAGCAGTCAGGAGAGCAGTAAATAATGGTAATTCATTTACATAAGACACCTGCGTTCTCTTGTATGTTCTTGTTGTAGTCTCATGTTTGTTAAGGCTCAGTTAGTCACGTTGTTAAATTATTCGGTTAGTCACGTGACACAGTTGTGTTCAATAACTGTTTCTATGGGCTACTTGGTAATACCTTTAATCACGTGACTTACCTGCATTGAATTACAGTGTCCTTGCGTTGATTGGTAATTCCTTACTCACGTGACATATTTGTGTTCGATAACAGTTTCTATGTGCTGAGTGGTAGTTACGTAGTCCCGTGACATACCTGCGTTGAATGATATTTTCTATGCGCTTCATGATAATTACTTTGTCATGTGACATACATGTGTTGAATAACAGTTTCTAAGCGCTACTTCATTAACAAGGTTAGTATTGAGTCATAAGTCTTGTTCCTGTAGAGCATAATGTAACCCACCCACCCATATACACACACACAAATACAACATACACACTTTTAGAACCAAAGTTACACCTCAACAATAATTTCCTCGTAGCAACTGAGAGCGTGAGCTTAGTCAGTCACGTGAGATACGTGTATCCAATAGCAATCTTTGTGTTGAGCGTGTTACGGGTACATAGTTAGAAAGACACCTGTATTCTAAGTAATATTAATATGTGTTTTTTGGCTTTTTCCTCATCAAACCTAAGAAGAACATCAAACCTGTTCCTAACTTATACCAAGATATGAGTTAGGTTGTTTAACGAATTCCATGTCACGACCAAGTATGACATACAAATAGTTGGTTTCTGACACGAGAAAAACAGTCTTCAATTTAGACAAATATTTTCCTCTTGGGAAAGAACTTTCTTTTTTCACCCAATGTTTATCGCATTTTGCGAAAACCTTGCAATAACATCAGTTATACAATAATGTAGATAGACCTTATCTGGAAACAACAGGGTTAACCTTTGGACTCTCAGTATGAGATCCTTTAGTTAATCACTCAAAACTGTCTTCTTGCTGCTATTGCATAACAACCTGATTAGGTACGGCTCGTAGTTGTACGCTCGCTTACGCGACTCTCACTCAGTCAGTGTCCAGTGAGACTCCCGCGTACTCCTTATTTCCCTGGTGGTATTTTACAAAATTGGCTCTATTTCACTCTTTAATATTATTCATTGTAATTAGTCTGTTTGTAAAAAAAAAACTGTTGGAATATAAAAGTGTATCATGGCACCTAATCGTATGAATCAGCCTGCACAAGTGGTAAGTCAATATACGATTATATTTAATTATAGTATTTTGGCACTTGTGTATAAAGTTAAAATCATAAATAATATTCAACGTTAA